TATTCTTGTCAGTATAATTTAAATATTCATCAAATGGATGTTGAGACTGCCTTTTTAAATGGTTATGTTGTGTCTGAGGTTTATGTTAAAAAACTACAAGGCTTTAATCATAATTCAAATAGATTGTATAAATTAAAGAAAGCACTATATGGGTTGAAAGAAAGCCCTCGTGCTTGGTATGAGTGTTTTAACGAGTATATTGAGATATGTAAAATCTGAAAATGATGTATTTGTATATATTCTTTTATTTGTTGATGATTTGTTGATATGTTGCAAAGATACTCGGGTAATTAATGATATTAAGGAACAACTACATAATAAATTTAAAATGAAGGATTTAAATAAAGTAAAAAGCTATATTGGAATTGATATTGAATATGATAATGAGAAAAGTAATATCTTAACACTGAGTCAGGAAAATTATATTGAATCTTTAGCTAAACTGTATGGTATTGAAAATTCAAAGCTTTATGATACACCAATGGAGACTAATCTTAAACTAAGCCAATCTAATTTAAATCAAAATGTCAAATATAGAAATCTAATAGGAGCACTCTTGTATATTAGTCATGGTACTAGACCAGACATATCTTTCAGCGTAAATTATTTAAGTAGATTTCAAAATTGTTATGATGAGACACATTTCAAATATGCTTTGAGAGTTTTAAAGTATTTGTACTTAACAAAACATCTAAAATTAACCTATAGTAAAAATCTTAAAACTGATATTATGAATTGTTATGTTGATGCTGATTGGGCAGGTGATATTTGTTGACAGAAAGTCAACTACTGGGTTTGTTATTGAATTATTTGGTAATCCAATTTACTGGAAATCCAAAAAGCAAAATTGTGTGACAAAATCTTCCACTTTTGCCGAATATATTGCTCTATCTGAGGCTGTGATGTGACAGAAATTAATTTCTTAAAAATGTTGTGAATGATGTTTTTGCTGATATAACTCACCCCATTAAAATTTATGAAGATAATTCAGGAGCTTTGGCCATTGCTAATTATGGGAACTTCACTAAAAATTCAAAACACATAGAAGTTCAATATCATTATGTTCACGAAAATGTTCAAAATGGAGTAATAATTGAAATTGTAAAGATTGATTCAGAATCAAATATTGCAGATATCTTTACTAAGTCTTTAGGAAAGATTAAATTTATGAAATTCAGAGAAGGTTTGAAATTGAAATAAATTTTGTATGCTGTTTATTTAAGTGATGTTTATTTAAATATTTTTGCTTGAAATGAAATAGATTTTGGTAATGTCCTTATGTATACTAAATTGTGTTTAACTTTGATTTTAACATTTAAGTTAATGAAAGAAACTTTTTTTAAAAAATAATTTGTGTGAATGTTATTGTTTATATCTATGCTTAATTGTAAATGGTAAAGATGAAAAGGTTGCTTATATCTATGTTTATTTGTAATTAGTAAATATAAATGTAAGGAGGCGTGTTAGTTTGGTACATTTATATTTACCATGTTGGCAACACCAAGTTCTTTCTCTGCGTGCGAGCTATGGATGCCGTTGTAATGTTGTGCACGTGTTGTTAAGTTTCAATAAAAAATGTGAAAAGATACGTTTCTTATTTTTCGACTTGCTTCTTCATATGATATCGGTTTATTTAACACTTGTTTTTATAGCCCCTATCACTGGCGCTGTCATCGCACAACATTTGAATTTTTGTTTGATAGCCATGTTTTATGCTAATTCTCGTTATTGTAGGCTACAGCAGCACCACACAAAATGCCCTAGTGGCGATTTTTGGAACTAAATTTTTTTTTCACGGAATCCTTTTTCCCATGTCTTGATTAGTCTAAATACCAAGTTTGGTGCCATTTCGGCTATTAGATAGCGCTACAGGGCGCTCCAAACACTGTCACTTTAAAAAAGATCACCCTGTACATCGAAATGTGGGGCTGTGCACTATCATAACAGAAGAAAATACCTCAATGATTGGTTAGTGCTGAGCGCTTTGCTTTTTTCCTTTGCACTTTGCTTTAACAGGTTTTAAAACTGCCATTTGGAAACCACATTTTCCCAATCTTACTGACTGATTCGGTGCACACAAAGCATGACTTCTTTGGGATGCAACCTCTCTCAATACTGTTAAGGAAGTTCTTTTGGCTTAAACCATGATCCTTTCCTTGTATCATTACTGTATACTATCCACTTTAATCTTCAATAAAGAGCCATTTGAAAAAAAAAAAAAAAAAAAAAAAAAAAAAAGCTTCTGCGTTTCTTTTCAACAAAGATTAACATGTTGAAACTCATGCAAACATATTCCGCTCTGTTAAAATATGGCTCAACTATACACCATAGTGGCTTCAGGGTTCGTACACATTTCTGCACACAGAAATCAAGAAATCAAGTACTTTTAAGGACCATTAATGAAAAACAATAAGGACCTATTGGCAAATGGAAGCTGAATAAATTCAGTTAAAGATATTATCTATGCCTGAACTTCACTTTTGTAACACCATCCCTAAGAATGAAATAGATTCGTAAGTAGGATATTTCATATAAATGTACATTTCTTTTTGTCTTTTTAGCTTTACTATTAAGCATCGTTTTCTTCCCTCTTCCGAAATATATAATTCAACAGCAAAATTACAAAAATCTTAAAAACAGCATGCATTTAGAATTGCCAATCAAGTGCTAAATAACATTTTCCCATTATTTTTCAATCTTTTCTCAGTTTATCACATCAACGTACAGTTTTCTTAGAGAATGGTTTGTAGAACTTTTTTTTTTTTTTTTTTGTTGTTGTTCTTTTGTTATTAATGTTTTGTGTGTTCAATTTATTAATTCAATATTATGTTCCTCGCACTTATACCACATAGAATTTATATAAATAGCAAAATTGCACAATTTTTAAAAACAGCATATCTTTAGAATTTCATATATACAGTTTTGCATGCTGAAGAAAACAATATTTCAATCTGCACAGTGTTGCCGCTGCTCACTTTCAAATCACTGAGTTTGTTAAAAATCCATTAGAGTTTTACAAAATATGATATATAACATTTTAAATTTGGGCTTCCAGGTGCAGATGTTCGAGTGGAGGATTACGTTATTCAAAATTTGATGGTCCTAGATACCGTCGTTTTTTCATAGTGCGAGAAAAATATATACGTTCATGCAGATTCTTCATTATTTAAATAACTTCTTTAAAGAAATGATACTCTGCAATAATATATCATGGCAACAATTTGAAAAAAAAAAATTCAGACATTTAGTGATAAGCTTTCAAATTCGGTTTCAAGACTAATAGCCCATTCATTTAATTCATTCATAGACTAATAGCCCGGTTTCAAGACCTTTAAGGGTAAAAATGATAGGTCGAAAAAAAATCTTATCGTTGGATTAGAAGGAAATCTGTTTACAAAGCAAAAACAAAGTCCTGGACATGTTTTGCCACAGCAACAGATTTGAGGAAAAATTTCCCAGGAAATAAAAGAAACTTTCTTGGTTAGTGTTTCCCAATGTATGGCATAGAAGTGCAGCTAAATTTTAATGCAGAAAATGAACAAAAACATTAAGCAAGGAATTATCATTCTTTCTGATCGTTAGCCCAGATATAAAATTGAAGAACTAGAAAAAGTTGAATTCATGCACAAAACAATTAATCATACTTATAATTTTGTCAATTACGGAACTGGCGTACAAACGCAACATGTAGAAAGAATGTGGGGGACCACCAAAATGGCATAATAAAAAGCACGAAGGCATGGCCTGTCAACTACTTGGAATCATATTTAGCAAAATTTATATGGCAACAAGATCAGGCCACTAAGGAAAAGAATTATTATGAACCTATATTTAAAGAGATCACAACAAAAACCTGTTTGTAACTAATTTTTCAGGATAACTATGGGTTAAAACTAAAATTTGTATGTCAGAACATGTATGTATGAAATAAATAACATTTTGCTATTTTAGGTCATCCTTTTTTTCTTCTTTAAAAAATCGTCACATCATCAAGGTGGTTGTACTTATAGGTAAACATACAACTCCAAAACTGGCATTACATGAAAGTTCAGAAAGGAGATTTCCTGCAACTAACTTTTGGACCAGAAAGCAAAAAATACAGTTACTGAATTTTCATGTGACGTAGCTCAATTGTAAATCACATTACAGGTGGTTTTTTTTTTTTTTTTTTTTTTTTTAGCGAGATGTTTTAAAAATTGTAAGAAGAGGGAATGCTAAATTCAAACAGAAAACATTAAATAGAAGAAATTAAGGAAGATTTGAATGCAAAGTAGCATATGAACAGAATATATCATGGAAAAATATAAATAACTTCAAAACAGAAACTGCACCAGTAGAAAAAATTAAAGAAAAACCTACAAAAAGGTGTTTTACATTAAATTTTTTAATATTATAATTTGGTTCAATATTTGCCACCTAGTTTCTGACCTCTCTTGGCATCTGACTTGTCTCACGCTCTCATGTTGTTAATCATTTTTAGCTTTTGCAATAAAATGAGAAGTGTGATTTTTTTCTTGCTAACATTTTTTGAAGCAACAGTACTATCATTTCTGAAAATCATCAGGGGAAAAAAATTCAAACGTCACAAGAATTAAGAGCTAAATTAGTAGTCTATGTACGAAATAGAATTAATAGTCTTGGGATAAAATTTATAGAAATACTGTTATACTCTAAAGGAGAGAAATTCACATGATCGGTAATTTAAACAATAGAAAATATTTTTTTATAATCTTTTGAGGACTAAACTACAATATGAGTCACCAAAGGCCATCATGCATGCATTATTTGATCTAATTTCAATATAATAACAATGAAAACATTTGAAGGATTTGTGCCAATTATGAGATTATGATGCAGGAGTGGTGAAATGCATTGGTTAAGTGTCACTGATTGGCTAGATGGATAATTGTTAAAAGCGTTCAATATGTAAAAGTAAGATAGCTATGAAACATAATAAAATAAAGTATACCTGTAAAAATTATAATGCATTTAAAACTTACCTTATTAGACTGTAAAAGGGCTCCATATAAGTAACAAGGGATCGCATGCAACCACAAATATGCATACGAACGAATTGCATACAGTGGAGAATATTCCCATGTTTGAAACCCTTCTCCATATAATAGATAATGCATCTAGATGGAGAGAGAAAACTTAGTATACATTAAAAGAAAAACTGATTACTTTAAATTGTTTATGTTTGCTTTAGTATCACATCATACTGGTTTGACAAGTATAGCACACCAAAAGCAGTTTGATATTATTCACTTAATACCATCTGTAAAAGTGAAAGGGCACTTAAAATAACTGGTATTTTTATGTTAGCTAAGCATAAAATGATTTTTAAATGCTTAAGAACTCATAATAAATTTTCAGACATGGTTTTTACTGTAACTGAATTCTATTTTCTTGTAAAACATTGGCAGTTCTTCTACGAAAGGTTTTCGAGGTTTAGATGATTATGGCAAAGCATACTAGGGCTATTTGCCTACGTAAGATGCCTTCATGGAAAGCTTTCTAAGGGAAACTGGCTCGTATACCCATTACACACGAGGAAAACAATGAAAATGCTCATGCAGCCAACCCAATCGCCTTTAATTAAACCCAGATCAAGAACTACCAGTGTTCGGTGATTTTGTCACTCGGCTGCTGGTGGGCCTGTTCTATGAAAGGAGAACCTCAAATTTTTTTACTTGAAAATTTCTAGGATTCTCTTCAGAACAGGTAACTTTTTCGTGAGATTTAAAAATTATTTTGGCAAGCTAATGCATCAAAGGAAACAGCCATTTTCAAAATGCAGCATACCATAAATTCCCATTACACAGCAATCAATAAATAAAAGTTAAAAACCAAGAAACAACTAATAAGAATGAAACAAATGTACATTAAAACTTACATTTAGTTCTTTTTCATCAGCTGTTCATGGTTTGCATGTAATTAAAAGACTTCTCGGGTTATCTTTGTATTCCCAATGCCTTATAAATTTGGCTGGATAAACCCACTTACTGTGAGAATGCTCTCCATGCATTCAATGTTGTTAAAAATTAATAAATAAAATAGAAGGAACAATCAACAATGAAAACAAAACAATTGATCAGTTCGAAGCATTTTTGGAACACATAATTGGAAAAGAACTTAAATTCTTTAAATGGAGAAATTCAAAATATTTTGAAGATATAGAAGCTTCAGAAGAAATAATTTTTTGGAAATTGAAACTTAATTCTAAAATTAAGAAAATGAATTCAAATTCTATCCAAGGTGCACAAAATATTGGTAAATCTTATAGAAATTATTCAGGTTAGATTTTTTATAATTTATTTAAGCTATATTCATAACAATCCTAATATGCAAGTTGATAAATTTAACTGTTTGAAGTTCTATCTATGTGTTGATGTTGCAGCATGCATTAATGGATTTGCTTTAAGTGATAAAAATTAAGATAAAATACTTGATTTGAAGAAAGATTCAGAAATAAAAACATGATTAATGCTCATTTGAGTGACTTGCTGAATTTAAATCCTGTTAAAAATCATAATGATATTATAAGTTTACAGAATTTGCACAACAACGTGGAAACGCAGATCAGAAGCTTAGATTCTTTATGAATTGCAGGCGAATTACACGCAAATTTATTGTCACCAATTTGAGTGAAATTAATTTCTTCAGAAATTGTTTTGGAATTTTATCGCATTCAAAGCAACAAAGAACTTGACTTCAAAACGTTTTTTATAATTCCTTAATAAAGAAATTCAAAGCCATGGGAGATCCTTTCCAATGAATAATTATAAACTATCAAATCAGCGAACACACTTATTTTCACCACAAGAAAAAAATAAAAATAAAAATTCTATGTCCGTTAGACATAATATTTCAAGAACCCCACATAAAAAGGAGAATTATTTCCCCCCCCCTCAACATGCTCGTGAATTTATAGCGTCAATCGAAAACGTAAAGTCTTTATTTTGTAGTAAGGATCATAAATCAGAATCGTGCTATACTTTTAATGCAAATGAAAAAGAGACTTATTTAAAAAAAAGGTAAAAATATATTTATGGGTGCCTCTTGGTGAAAACTGGCGATTTTCGGCAGTACATGGATATCGAGTTTGTGCAATTCTTCGACTTGCTATTTTAGCTTTGTGCAGTGGCGATTTTACCTAAAAAAATCGCCGCTACACAAAGCCAAACTAACAAGTCAAAGAATCACACAAACCTGGTATCTATGTTCCCATCGACCTATTTTCACTCGAAAAAAAAATCAGAGAATTGCACAAACTTGGTAATGCACACTCCCATGACTTTGTCTATGTACACATCGATGTATTTTCACTTAAATAAAGAGTAGCCAACAAAAACACGTAATCTCAATAAACTACATTTTAAATCAAACAATGAAACACAACATAAAAAAGGAAATTCATCTTATCACTACACAAAGGAAATATCCACTTACCTTATTTACATATTTCCCCGTCTTCAGTTAAACAAAATTTCTTAACAGCATCCAAAAACTTCCTAAAATTATCTGAACTAGAACCTGTATACTGGTGGCATCACATAAATTCACAAAAATAAGAGTAAAAAATATCCTCTGAAACCATACACATTTCCTTCCTACAAACAGGACACTTATAATGGCAACTAAATAAACCTTCATTTACACACCAGTCAATTAATGCTTTTTTCCCTTTCGTTCGAAAACTTCCTAAAATTATCTGAACTAGAACCTGTATACTGGCGGCATCACATAAATTCACAAAAATAAGAGTAAAAAATATCCTCTGAAATTCGACCATACACATTTCCTTCCTACAAACAGGACACTTATAATGGCAACTAAATAAACCTTCATTTACACACCAGTCAATTAATGCTTTTTTCCCTTTCGTTCGAAAACTTCCTAAAATTATCTGAACTAGAACCTTTATACTGGCGGCGTCACATAAATTCACAAAAATAAGAGTAAAAAATATCCTCTGAAATTCGACCATACACATTTCCTTCCTACAGACAGGACATTTATAATGGCAACTAAATAAACCTTCATTTACACACTAGTAAATTAATGCTTTTTTCCCTTTCATTCAAAATCGTACGGAAACTTCCAATTAATCTTTCAATATTCAGCCATTTTACCATGTAAACCACAAAATAATAACATAACAAAATCTGTCCCCTCATTCAAATTCACTGCAATCACACAACCAATTACATCATAATAGGGTTTCCATAAAATTCAACTACACAGGTTACCATAAATGAAACAACAACTTGGCGATAAATGAAAAAACAACTTCGTGATAATACAAGGGGCACCCTTAAATCTAGTCTAACCCAAAAAAAAAAAAAAAAGAGACACTGTTTTCTATGCTTGATGCTGAAACACAAAGCTGCAGAATGTTCTAAAAGAAATTTATGTCCTAGTTGCAATAATACTCACAATATGTCAATTTGTTTTCAAAATCAAAATAATCTGCATATAACTTCTCCAAAAACTGAAACCCATAATGTTGTTAAAACAAAAACCAAAAATCTAATGTTACAAACATATTCAACCTTAATTGATGATGGAAATGAGAAAGAATTTGTTAGAATTTCCCTAGACAATGGTTTACACTTCTCTTTTGTTTTGCAAGCTATTTCTGAAAAGTTTAACTTTCCTGTTGTTTGAAAGGAAAGCTTTTCCATTTGCACATTTGGTGCTAAGTAAACTGAAATGAAAACATTTAATGTAGTTAAATTAAAGAATAGAGATGGTCTAAATTTATGCATCCAAATGAAAGCATTGGAGACGGAACATATTTCAGGCACACATTTCCCAATAAAAATATTGAGAAGAAATTTAGATATTTAACAAATGTGCAATTGGGGATTGCTGTGAATTTAACAATAAGGAATAAGCGTCTAAACAAAAATCTCATTGCAACTGAAACAATATTTAGATAGTGTCTACAAGGCCAAAACATGAATTTAAATGAACCTTTTGCAATGAGTGTTATGGTAAACAAATCCAATATTTCCAAGAAACTAAAAAAATTTTGGAGTTTAGAGAATTTGGGCATCAAGACAGAAATATCTGATGTGAAAAACACTAACAAAGATATAATGAGTGAATGTGAATCTGCAATTACATATCAAAATAAGCAATAAAAAATGAAAATGCCCTGGAAACCAAATATGAAGACATTATTAGAAAAGAACAAACATGTAGCACAGAAAAGATTTTACAGATTCATATCATCTTACAAAAATGATCCTTCCTTATTTGAGTACAGTCAAAAGTCGTTAATTCGGACACCCATAATCCGGAATGATCTATAATCCGGACCTCAAAGCTAAAATCTTTCTGCGCATGCTCCGCGTTGACGCATGCGCATAGGCGTTTTACACGTGCACGCAAGACATTTACGACTGTGCATATTTGTTTGCGCAAGCCAGAATACGTTTTCGCGTGCGCATTTAATGTATAACAGACGGTATAAGCTCTAATTGTCTATTTCAATTAATGTTGATGATTGTGTTGTTCCTTAATCTTCGAATTGGATCCGGCTTATTATTTTTTGCAGACTGTAAGAGCAATTCTATAAAAGTAAGCTTGAACTTTCGATTATGTCAAATAGAATTTCCGATGCTGGAGCTCCCAAAGGATCTAGAAAACGAAAGTATGTTTCGATGACCATCAAACAAAAAACGAATTGCTACAAAAATTGGATAAAGCCATATCCTTTCTTTATCTAACCGTTCCCAAATCTGTTTATCAATTTCACGCTGCTCTGCGCGGGGGGGGGGGGGGGGGGGAGTTGCGGCACGCAATGAACTGGAAGTTGATCTGTCAGCACTATCATTATCTTCAGGGCAGATGTTTTTATTTTATTCGGCTTATAATTCCTCACTAAATGTAGTATTTAATCTCGATGTACTCCGTCTTTGATATGATTTAAATCAAATTCCTCGTCATTATAAATATCACGAATACAAATCAAATAGTTTTCTGGTTGCAATTTTCTAATTTCGGCTATGCGTAAGGTATGCTTTACGCATGCCCGCATTGAAAGAAATGTTTAATAAAGTAAACAAATAAATATTAAGCTTCTTTTTTGTAAATTTTGATACCCTTTAGATCATAACTGCTCATT